GCTTTAGCTATGGGTCCTTCAGGTAAATGTGGCTGGAATGACTGGAAGACAGGGTTGGGTCTCAGTGTTGTTTCAAAATAAAAGCTGAAGACAACTCCCTGACTATTCACAGGGGGAAACGAGGCACAGAGGGGGCAAGTGATCCCCAAGGTCATACAATTCTGCCAAGTGCAGAGCAAACACTGCGGACTGGACTCCTGGTCTACTGCTTTTCCATGGCATCAGCTAAGATGACTGCTCTGAACCTGGAGCTACGGCAGCCTCTGATGATGACCACGGGCATCTCCTACTCCATTCTGGAGGCTCCCTGTTGATCCCTAATGTGGAAGTCCCCTTCTTCCTCCCCAGTTTGTAATCACAGCGGACACTGGGGTTTAGCCATCAGCAGCAGAGGATCCTGCTACAGAAAACTGAAGGGTGGTACTGAAAAAATCATCAGATCAGCAGAGAAGTCCTGTCCCCTTATCCCCAGGGCCTTGGACGGCTCCTCCAACCAGGCACATGTCTCCTTCCTGGGCTGCACTCAGCTGTGCCTGGGCTCCTCTCTCTGGCATGCCTCCTCCCTGTCAAAGTTCTTCTAGGTTTTCCCCCTTCTGCCTCCTTTTTTCTTCCTCCTCCACTTCCTTCAGTCTTCCTGGGGCATTTCAAGCCTCGTACCCATCTGTGAGTTCCTCTTGGGCTCGTGGTAAGGTCTAAAGTTTGTTATCAAGAGAAATTCTAGCCAAAGCAGATTGTGAATGTGAAAAAGAGAGAAATTACAGCAAACAGAACTTATGCTTATAATAAAATGGTCTAAAATAGAAATGTATGTGCCAGGCATGGTGGCTCACACCTGTATTCCCAGCACTTGGGGAGGCTGAGTCGGGTGGATCACCTGAGGTCAGGAGTTCGAGACCAGCCTGGTCAACATGGTGAAAACCTGTCTCTACTGAAAATACAAAAATTAGCTGGGTGTGGTGGCGTGTGGCTGTAATCCCAACTACTTGGGAGGCTGAGGGAGGAGAAACACTTGAGTCCGGGAGGTGGAGGTTTCAGTGAGCCGAGATAGTGCCACTTCACTCCAGCCTGGGCGACAAGAGTGAAACTCTGTCTCAAAAAAAACTAAAATAAATAAATATATAAATAAAATAGGTATGTACTTATGCAAACCATAGAAAAATGTTTGGCAACCATCCCAAGATACTTGACAATGTGAAATACTTCTATTACCACTGGCCTGACCTTCAAAGGCCTTCATGGCCCCTGCCTTGCTGTTATCGTCTGTGTTCCTCTTGCATCTTCCACTCAGCGTGAACAGGCTGCATTGCCTCCAAAACGCACCACTTGAATCCTGCCTCTGCTCCTTTGTCCATCTGAATCACCCTCTCCACGTTTCTGACCCTGCAATCCTGATCTCACTTCATGAGGAGGCAGTTCGCTTCCCTTTTGCATTTAGCTTTCCCCGGGATACACTGTCAACAGCCTACTGTCTGATGTCATCAGTCAGCACTTCATCAGAGACAATTATGTCTACAAAGCTTTTGGCTAATTACTGTCACTCCTCCTTACACATGTGCATATGTATATCATCTTTCCCTAGTGAGACTGGAAATAATGATTCCTTCCCTGGAGGAGTGGTTTCCATAAATGACCAACCCACTGACCAGTGCAAGCTAGCTGCGAAAGAGCTTCCTCTGAGGAACTTACTAGATGCAGATTCTTGGACTGCATGGGAAAGGAGGATCTCATAAATCTGGCTGTAATAGACACAGGACATTAGGTGTAATATGGGCGGGACTCCGGACTCAGCATATCCAACAAGCTGCTGGCTGATGCTGATGGTGCCGACGAATTATCAGGTTGGGAACTGCTGCCGCCAGAGAATCTAGCAGAGAGCTGCCAGGTGCTCACTCCCCTATTGTTTGGGTGCATGTCTCCTGATAATGAACTTGATCATAACATTATTGTTATATTATGCCTGTATTGTTTCCTTAAGTGAGGGAAGAATGCTTTTGAGTACCTAATAGGTGGCAAGCTCTGTGCCTACTTACATACATGATCCATTCCTTTTAATAACCTTTGGAAATAAAGTGGTATTTTCATTGGGCATTAGAAATCTGAAAACTTTCGTTTACAGCTGTTGCAACAGCAGAACTAGAATTTGACCTCCGACATAATGGGCTCAAAGTCTATGATCTTTCTACTTACCAGGGGGCATGAACTGCCGGTTTGTATCTGGCTTGATGATACCTTCGTTGGGCAGCACAGTGTTCAAAATTTTAAAAATTTACCAACACTTCTAAACTGGATACTTTGTATTAATATCTGGGTTTCTGGCTTCTCTTCATGGGAAAAACAAACAAAAAAGGTTTGGTGAACACTGGGGCCCACATTCCTGCAGGGCAACAGTCACATGGAGCCTTTAGATGGGCATGTGCCTAGAACTCACTACAGTCCCCATCACTCCCTATTCTCTTACATCCTATTCCCAACTAGGTTCTCATAGGCCTGGGTTTGTGACTGCTGCACACTTACCTACTCTCTTGCTTCCCACTGGTCAGAAAGTCTGGCAAACTTAAAAGGCCTCTTTTTGTTGCTTTCTCCTGTATGGATCTCTGATCACAGAGGTGTGTGCATTTCTGACCTTGTGATTTCAACACTAAGGAAGCTGTTGGTACATTATCAAGGGAAACTGGGATCGCTGCTCCCCAAGTTACACATTCTGGTGTGTCCCAGTAAAATTCTATATTCAGCCTCCAAACTAGCTGGGAAAAATGTGGCAAATCATCTTACTTGCTCCAATTCAGTGGTGTTTGGAAGTAAGAAGTCACTGTGAGCAATGCCACCAAGTGGTGGAGAGACTCCGTGCCGAATTGCCACCTTCAGCCAGAGAGGCTGGGAGGCTCAAGACCTCTCAACGCACAGGGCCATTCAGAAACTAGAAACCAAGTGCTTGCCCGTCTCCCGAGGCTGGTCCTTCCAAGGCTTTTTTTTTTTTTCTTTTGAAGGACAAGGGGTCTCACTTAGTCAACCCAGGGCTGGAATGCAGCTGGCACATCGGAGGGCCTCACTGGCACCTTCGACCTTCTGTGCAACATTCCTCCTGCACCGAGCTCCGAATATGGCTGGGAGGATACAGGCATGGGGTCACCTACACCAGTTGATGATGATGATGGATTTTTTAAAAAGGAATATCTCGCCATATTGCTCAGACTGGCCTTGAACCAGCCCACTTTTAGCTTTTTAAAAGACAGCCTTGGCCAGTCATGGCAGCTCACACCTGTAATCCCTGCACTTTAGGAAGCTGAGGTGGGCAGATAGCTTGAGCCGAGGAGTTCAAGACCAGCCTGGGCAACATGATGAAACCCCATCTCTACAAACATTAGCTGTGTGGTGGCGCACATCTGTGGTCCCAGCTACTGGGGAGGCTGAGGTGGGAGGATTGCTTGAGCCTGGGAGGTCAAGGCTGCCATGATTACCCCACTGCATTTACAGCCTGGGCAACAGAGTGAGACCCTGCCTCTATTAAAAAAAAAAAGAAGAAAGAAACCTAAAAACAGACTGGCACTTAAAAGAGTTGTGCTTCATTTTTTGACTTTCTGTATTAATTTTCTGTTTGTTCTTTTCCTTAAACAAGCTGCCACTGCTGCTGATTCAACATGTTTCATTTTATACCTTTTTTTTTTGAGACGGAGTTTCGCTCTTGTTGCCCAGGCTGGAGTGCAATGTCATGATCTTGGCTCACTGCAACCTCTGCCTCAGCTTCCCAAGTAGCTGGGATTACAGGCATGTACCACCACGCCCGGCTAATTTTATATTTTTAGTAGAGATGGGGTTTCTCAGTGTTGGTCAGGCTGGTCTTGAACTCTCAACCTTAGATGATCCGCCTGCCTTGGCCTCCCAAAGTGCTGGGATTACAGGCATGAGCCACTGGGCCTGGCCCATTTTATACATTTTTGATATGTATTCTTGTTTTTGGAAAATGTGAACAGAGGGCTATTAAACTCTTTTAGAGTCGGTATAGTAAAGAGGCAAAAAAAAAAAAAACCACAACAAAACAAACCAAAAAAACCCTCTTTGTAAGACAGGATTGAATATCGTTGGACTGAGCACTTACCAAGCAACTGTGCCAGGCATTTGTGTCCATTTAATTCTTACAAGCCTGAGTGTAAGGTATTTTAATTTTATAGGTGAACAAATAGAAGCCGAGGGTGAAGGACCTACAGCTGTCACCTTCATTTCTTCGCAACACTGCCAACTGTCTCCTTGGATCTCCCAGACAGACAACTAGGGATATCTGGTTTCTCGGTGCCCCCTACAAACCTAGACTCATTTCAAGGCATTATGCAAATGAGAAGCTTTCCTTCTCTTCACTTCATCTCCTGATCTGCACAAAAAAGACTGTAGGACCCCCTGTAGGTACCAATGTAGGCACCAATCCTCAGTTTACCACCTGCTCTCTACTTGCTTCCCTGCCATAACTTTCTAAAAGGGATGTGAGCCATGTTTAAAGTCACCTGGTCACTGCAGGGATCTTGTTCTACCCTCTACATCAGTGGTTGCCAACCTTTTTGGCACCAGGGACTGGTGTCATGGAAGACAATTTTTCCACGGACTGGGGGGATGGGGGGAATGGTTTCAGGATAAAACTGCTCCACCTCAGATCATCAGGCATTAGATTCTCATGAGGAGTGCACAACCTAGATTGTAGCACGCACAGTTCACAATAGGATTCGTCCTCCTGTGAGAATCGCATGCCGCTGCTGATCTAACAGGAGGCAGAGCTCAGGCAGTAATGGGAGCGAGGCGGAGCGGCTATAAATACAGCGCACCGCTCACCTCCTGCTGTGCAGCCCGGTTCCTAACAGGCCATGGACAGTACTGGTCTGCAGCCCGGAAGGTGGGGAATCCTGCCCTACAGAGTTTCCAGCCTCAGAGATGAAGCATCCCCTCTGTAAGTCAGAAAGAAATTATTCAAGTAGCAGAATTAAAACAGGATCACAGAGAGGGAGGCTGAAGAATTTGACTTTCTGGGTTTACTCATATGAGGAAAAACAACACATAGAGGCATCCACAGTATTTAATTTGTTTGGATAATAGTTACAGATAAACAGGTACACCCCATATACAATTACCAATACTTTTTATACAGTTCATATTTCAGTACATCAACACTATTTTATTTACACTCTATTTATGTACATTAACATCTTTCTAATGTCAGTGCATTGTCAACAAGTTTTATACAGTAATTTACAAGGTGAATGTAGTTAATAGTTAATTTAATAAATTTTCTGCTAGTTCATGAATTAAAAAAATTAATTACAACCAGTATAACAAACACAGATCAAACAACATTAGTAGATTGTGCTACCTGCTTAAATAAAACATCTGTAAAGAAATTATTTAAAATCTTCCACTTTTTAATGGGACATGTCCAGGTAGGAATGGACAGATTTTATATACTGAAAATCTTGAAACTATAAAGTATGCATTTTGTCTGCCTTTATTACATTAGACAATTGAGGCCACTCCTACCTACTTGCAATTATATTTTCTCTGAAAAGGATTTCACTTTAGGTAGCCATTTAAGATAATCTTTCCAAACGCTTTGAGAACTAGATATTAATAGTTAATGGCCTCAGATATCAGAACACAAATGCTTAGTTACATTGGTAATTACTACCTATGAGGAAGAAAGGGTAGTGGAATCTGACAATTAAAGAGAATCAACTTGCAGGATCTAAATGAATAAACAAAGACCAAAAATAAGGTGAAACATTTCCTTCAAGTATATATTAAAAAACTACATGAAAAAAATGCTACCTGAAATAAATAATATTTATACTTTTGTTCCAGTCTTGAATAATTGGAGGAAAAAATGAAGTAAGCAAAGAAACATAACTTTCAATCACTACTGTAAAATTAAAAAAAAAAGACAAATATCAAAATAAAAAAATTACTGGACATGCAAACAAAGCAAAACTAAAGTTGACTTCCTAAAACCACCAATTTCATTAAATATACTTATGAACTCCTAATGTCTGGGATGTGTTTTGTTTGTAATTTATAGCCCTTAGAGCCATCAAATACACACAAGCAAGTTCATCTGCATGTGTTCTCTCTTTTTTAAAGTGCAAAGCAAACACGGAAAAGAACGACCACTAATTGTGAAACGCGATCTAGCTCCGATGCTGCTTACCTTCCCAGAAGCTCTTGTTGCAACATGTGCATGTGAAGATGGTGCAAATATTGGCAACTGCCCCCCTTCCCTCAGCATGGGCGGGGCCGGGGGTGCAGAATACATTTCTGAGGATACTTGAAGTATCCTAAATGTAAGATGCCTCTGCTGGGAGGGCCATGGTAGCTGGATTTCCCAGGATGCTTTTTCTTTCTACTGGGTCTTCTACTGGGTCTCTGAGCGGAAGGCACATAGCTCTTAAGAGAGCCTCCCTTTTAGACTGACCACTATATGCCCCAGCTACCAATGACTGGTTGTGTCTCAAACATAAACACAACAACAAAAACAAAAAGCAAGAAAGACAAAGAAAGGGTAGCGAAACAGTTTTAAAAATAAATGGAAAAAACCTCGTCCATGCCATAAGAATCATTTGCACACCTTCATGATCTTGCTTTCTCCATCTTGTCAATATAATGGAATAAAACTTCAGGAAAAAGGAGGTAGCATATCATGTCGTCCCTAGACAACATTATAATTTTTTTTTTTTTACTTTGACTCCAAGGAAATCTTTAATATTTGTTATGATTATTGGTAAACTCTATACTCACTACATATTTGTTCATATCTGGACAAGCACAAATTGAATTCTTATTTGGTCCCAGGTGGCTGGTGCCAAACCTTTTGTTTACAGGCTAATGGTGGGATCTGCCTGAAAGTTCTCTATCGGAGAGCTTGTATGAGACTTCAAAATAAAATTATTACTACTCTTAAAGTTAACTATTTTAATTAGAATTTTTATTTTGTGCTTCAGGGTCACAGGATAAAATAACTACATTTAGCTTGCCTTTCAGTGACACTTTTGCCAAATGTCAGCTACAAGGAGTCATCTCCCTCACTACCAAGCTGTCTAGCAGCCAGAGTGGTAGCTTTACTGTAACACACAGTACTTTTTGTAATCAGACTCAAAGTCTTCATCCATACTGCTTGTGTCTGCCATCTTTTTGCCATCAATCTTTGGCAGAAATTGTGCATAGTCTATCCCCTGCTGCTCATAGAAAAGAATGTAGGCAGAGTCGGTGTCAATTTCATCAGGGTGAAGTTCCTGAAAGGGCAAGAAAAACCTTTAACAAAAAGCCATCACTATTATGGCTCTAAATCCTTGCCAGGAAAGGGAAGACCAACCCTCTGCAATTACTAAACCTGATGGCTTCCAATAAGCTCACTAGTTTGGCTGTCTCACACCTGCCCCTTTAAAATGAGCCCCATTATTTCCAATGTTTGCTTTGGGGAAAATATTTTGACCATAGACAAGCCAAAAAAGAATGACCTAAAATCCCATCAAATTATATTTATTTATTTATTTTGAGACGGAGTCTTGCTCTGTCACCAGGCTGGTGTGTAGCGGCATGATCTCAGCCCACTGCAACCTCTGCCTCCTGGATTCAAGTGATTCTCCTGCCTCAGCCTCCCGAGTAGCTGGGACTACAGGCGCGTGCCACCACGCCCGGCTAATTTTTTGTATTTTTAGTAGAGACAGGGTTTCACCATATTAGCCAGGATGGTCCCAGTCTCCTGACCTCATGATCCGCCCACCTCAGCCTCCCAAAGTGCTGGGATTACAGGCATGAGCCACCACGCCTGGCCCAACCCCATCAAATTCTAACAGTCTAGAAGATAGGAGCTTTTTGCATTAACTAACTCCCCTTTCTTTTTTTTTTTTTTTGACACAGAGTCTCTCTCTGTTGCCCAGGCTGGAGTGCAGTGGTGCAATCTTGGCTCACTGCAACCTCCACCTCCCAAGTTCAAGTCATTCTCCTGCCTCAGCCTCCCGAGTAGCTGGGATTACAGGCATGCACCAACACGCCTGACTAATTTTTGTGTTTTCAGTAGAGATGGAGTTTCACTATGTTGGCCAGTCTGGTCTCCAACTCCTGACTTCAAGTGATCCACCTCCTCAGCCTGCCTCAGCCTCCCAAAGTGCTAGGATTACAGGCATGAGCCACTGCGCCCAGTCAACTAACTCTTCATTTTTCCTCACTACTCATGTTTTCATTCCCTACTCTGCATATCACTTTTGTTCCTTTAATACTGACAGCATCTATATATTGATTCTAACAGAAATATCTATTTCCTATTCAAGAGATAATCCATTATTTCAACAAATGTTCCCCAGTTCTGTTGATATTCTGTTTCTAACTTTCATTCAAAGTTTGAGAATGTTTACCTTACAGCTGCTGTCATTGTAACAGTACCACTTGCAGTTTGGGTTTTTGGCATAAGTGACGTAATGGCCCCCACCCAGAATTCCTGAATGGCACTGTAAGAGATAAGAGAGTGGAGGTATGTTAATAGTAAACTGTACTATGGCCAGGGTATAGCGCTGGGATCTGAGTAGGAGAACACTGATCATGTAAATGATCAGTAGGTGAAAAAATACTTTAGAACTCTCTTTTTCTAAAACGAAAATAAGCAAAAAGCAAAATTCAAAAGTCATAAGCTCCAAGTCTTGTGTGGATAAACAATCATTTTATAATTGTAATTACTATATTATTATTATTATTATTGAGACAGGGACTTGCTCTATCACCCAGGCTGGGGTGCAGTCGAGTGATCACAACTGTCTAAAGACTTGACCTCCTGGGCTCAGGTGATCCTTCTGCCTCAGCCTTCCAAGTAGCTGGGACCACAGGCACATGCTACCATACGTAGCTCCATTCAAAAATTATTTGAAGAGATGGGGCCCAGGCTGGTCTCTAACTTCTGGGCTCAAGCTATCCTCCTGCCTCAGCCTTCTAAAGTGCTGAGATTACAGGTGTGAGCCACCACACCTGGACAGGCCAAGATTTCTATGTTAACTTTGTCTATCACTAAGCTCAATGCTAGGAAATAAGCAGGACCTGAAAAAATACTTGCTGATGAATACATGAAGACAACTGAACAAAACACAGACCACTCTCTGAAAACCATATAATAAACCACTTACCGAAATTGCATATAGATTATAAATAGGCTTAATACGAGTGTCTTCTCTTTGGTCATCAGTGCTGTCTTCTTCACTGTGGTTTCCAAGCTGACCATTGCTGTAGCCATTGCCACATGCTTCATGCTCATAAAGGAATCCATTGGCCAAAGCTACCTCGTGGTCCTGAGGAGTGACCAGCTCTGGCTGGCTGCCCCCCAGCATATGCCCTCGGCTCAAGGCGTCAGCCAGCTCACAGATCTGCCCAGCCCCATTATCTCTGCTGGCATCCAAGTTCTCCTTACTACTTGACAGTTTATTTTTGCTGCCAATCTGGGGCAGCCGGAGCCTCCCTTTGCTCCTCCCCAAAGTCCGTGGGCTGCTACTAGGGCTGCTGTTTTTGCTGGAGGGACAGCTGGCTCCACTTTTTCTTGATGAAGAAGGAGAACCTATGAACAGGACAGAAGAAAAGATTCACAAATCCAAATGCCACAAGGTAAGCCGGCCCCAAATGCTAACTCTGAGGTTAGCTTCACAACTGTACACACAAAGGTAAAGACGGGGGAGTCGTGACTGGCTGCTCTTTAGTTCCTATTATGTAGCCAGTAAGTTACATTTTTGTCTTCTTCAATGACAAGTCCCTATAAGCAACAATGTCCTGAAAATGTAAAGTACATTATAGGGACTCAGAAAATAGCAGAAAGATGATTTATGTCAGATTCAGCTGAAAAAAATCTATTAGAGTAAGGAGTTTTCCAAACACAGATTCTTCTCCTTTGTAAAATTAGACAAAAAATGTGACCACCATGTACTGAGTACTTCCTATTGTTAGGCATGGTACTGGGAATTTCCTGCTGTCCATTGTTACCTCTATGTCTCACAAAAATCCTGTAAGGCTTTAAACTTTTTGGTCATAGCCTCTTACCCAATTCTCTTTTATACCTTTAAAAATTACTGAGAACCCTTAGAATTTTATGTGAATTTTATCTATCAATATTTCCCATATCAGAAATTAAAACAGGAATGAGAAAGTACAATACATTAGCACAGAATTCACTGTCAAAGGGACAATATTATTCCATGTCATCTTGTCTCTCACACCATTGTACACTTGTGAGAGAATGAAAGTGAAAAGGTACATATTGTTTTAGTATTTTTATGAAAATAGTTTTGGGCCAGGTGCAGTGGCTCACACCTGTCATCCCAGCACTTTAGGAGGCCAAAGGAGGAGGATCCCTTGGGCGCAGGAGCTCGAGCCCAGCCTGGGAAACATGTAGAGCCCCATCTCTACAAAAAGTACAAAAATTAGCCAGGTGCAGTGGTGTGTGCCTGTAGTCCCAGCTACTCAGGAGGCTGAGGTGGGAGGATCGATTGACCCCAGGAGTTTGAGGCTGCAGTGATCTGTGATCTGTGTTGCACCACTGCCCTCCAGCCTGGGTGACACAGTGAGACCCTGTCTCAAAAAAATAAAAAATAAAAAAAATAAAAATAAAGAGTTTTGATCCTCCAGACCCCTTGAAAGATGGGGAAACTCAGAACTTTTGCTATAAGGGGACAAGACAGCAGCTATCATTCCTGTTTACCATATATCAGGCACTGTGTGAAGTGCTTTACTCTCCATGTGTCAAACTCTTAACTCTGTAAACCTAGTATTATCTCCATTTTACAGATGAGAAAATAGATTCGGGGAGGCTGAATCTCTTGCTAAAAGTTACACAGCTCAAATACAGATAGGTCTGATTCCAGATAGGTTCCTTTCACCAACCAACCTGATGTTCTGAAACAAAAAGACAGAGAAACATATGTAGCCTACAGGAGTCCCAAGAAAGCACCTGCATAAGGCCCTCAGGCCTCACCTTTCGGGCTGCTGATGATGTTAGCGCTGAGTGAGGATGGGCTTTTGCTCAGGAGCACGTCCTCTTCCCCAGCCGAACTCTGCGCATCCACTTTCTTCACCTCTCTTGCCAGAACCCGGGGCTCGGAAAGCTCATCCCCCTGGGGTGTGAGTGGTTTACGCCGACAGAGAGCCGGGTCTCTTGGTACCAAAAAAGCACTTGGATCAAAACTTTCCCGAGGAAATTTGACAATTTTCTGTGATTTTATCCACCGACCATTTACGAATTGAAATCGCTTAAGATGAATAATCTGGAGAAGTAAAGGTAGAAAACATCTGCATTAAAGGGTTCTGAAGATACAAAATTTATATGGAAAAAACAAGTCAAATACATGTGAATGTTTGAGAATATATAACAGAACATTTACTCTTCATAATTTTTTAAAGACTTCAAAAATATGGTTTCATAAAGGCCTCCACACAGGCCCCAGTGCACCGGTATGCTTGTGCACACACACTCCACTCAGCAGTGTGCCACAGCCATGTGACAGCGCAGTGGGTGTTGTCTCTGGGCTCAGTTGCTCTTCTAGAGTCCACAAAGGGCCAGCCGAAGCTTCCTCTCTCCACAGAGCCAGAAGTTCACCCTCTCCTGAAGTTCAAATTCACCATGTTTTACCCCTTGTGGCAGTTCTCACATCGCACTGAATTGCAGTTACTGTGTACCTGACTGATCTCTTCTTCTAGGTTATAAGCTCTTTAGGAAAAGGAACTACCAAATATTTGTAGAAAGATTCATCTCTGTACTCAACATAAAAACCTTGTACAGAAAGTGTTTTAAACACTGCTGCAGGAAGGGTCGTATTCTCAGAAATAACAAAACTTCATGTTTGTTCATGTCTTCTTTCTTTCATGCTAAATTCCTGCTCTCTCAGAGGTAGGACTGTAACATACCAGGATGGGTGGAAGCCTCCAGAGATCCAGCTTCTTTGTTGCTAAGCAGTGGGTCTTACACTTGGAACAGTAGTACATCTCATTTTCCCCTAGCTCTTCCTCACTGGTGAAAGCACGGAGACAGCTGTCCAGGTTGATGGGCTCGGCTTGTGCTCGCCGACTCTGCTCCACACTCTCATGCTCATCGACAACCTGCAGGTAGAGGGAACAGGAGGAAAGGGGTGTGTGGGAAGGCATTTAAAGTGGTGATCTAGCTATGCATCAACCTCTCCGTCACTTACCCTTATTTTACTCTATATAAGGAAAAAGAAAATACAACTGGCTGGGTATGGTGGCTCATGCCTGTAATCCCAGCACTTTAGGAGGCCAAGGTGGGGGAATTGCTTGAATCCAGGAGTCCGAAACCAGCCTGGCCAACAGAGTGAGACCCTGTCTCTCTAAAAGAAAAATCTAAAAATTAGCCGGGCGTTGTGGCACATGTCTGTAGTCCCAGATACTCAGCAGGACTGCTTGAGCCTGGGAGGTAGAGGTTGCAGTAAGCTGTGATTACACCACTGCACTCCAGCCCAGATGACAGAGAGAGACCCTGTCTCAAAAATAAGGGAAAAGAAAACACAACCCAAACTAGAGTCTAAGCAAATATAGCACGTACACATTTATTCACAAATGTTACATCAGTAACATTCTGGATAAAATTTACATTTATATGACCATAGCTTTTCTTGAAAAATTTTTGAATGCTTCAAAATGACAAAAACAAAAATAACTGCATTTATTTAACAACTTTGGAATCCTATAAGGGATTACATGTGAGCTGGCCCTCAAGCCAGGAGTGTTGATAGAAAGCCATTTATTTTTAATCAGAAAGCCAGAGCATTATTAGTGTGCTGCAGACTTTACAGAGGCTAGGAGAAATAACATGAAACGCAGAAGCCAGATCTGGATGAGATAAGGGCACAGAAAAGCTCACCATGAGAAGACAACACAGCAGAGCCTGAAACCCCACAGGGTACAACTCACTTGCATCTGATCCCATATAAGAGTTATCAGAATACCAAGTTTATAATTATCTGTCTCCTCCCTCATGGGGCCTTTTTATCTGAGATGGTAACAAAAGGAAGAGCAAGCTCAAGAGTGTGCTGCTTTTGTTGAGAAGGCCCCTAAGACCCACCCAAACCTTTGGGGTCCTGTTAATCAGCATGTTAGGCTGTGGAGCAAGAAGGAGTTAAGTATAAGAAAGGAGAGAGAGCAAAGAGTGGGTGGGGTGCAGGGATGTATGTCGGGGGTGGTGTGGAATGAAGAAGAAGAAGAAAAGGAAGGATCTAGAGTGCAACAGAAAAAAAAGAATTTTTCCCTCTCCATTCCTGGCTGCTACCTGACAATCAATCAAGAACCACAGAGCTGGGATCCTTCTGTTTGTCCCTCTAATGTATGGGAAGGTGGGTGAAGCATCAGGGTTATAGATGCTACCAAGAGACTTCACACAGTATATATTTGTGTCCCAAAGCAGAGCCCGGACTACAAGGCCCACACTGACTGCCTCTCGGTGGCAAAGGTCACATATGTCCATCACCCACCCTATTTATTGCTCCTCCCTTCCAGAGGTGAACAGGTTCTCCTGAGGCAACTTCCTCCATGAATTTCCCTTCCTGAAACTCATGATGGGAACATTAGGCTGCCTGGAATACAAATTGGCACAGCTCAAGACATTCAGTTTAGAACGGGTTTTCAGGTGAGACTTTTTCCCTACATGAGAGGATGGTTGAGTCACGAGGCTGTCAAATGCTGCTATAAACTAGCAAGGTTGGGTTTGATCATGCAGCTAAGGTTCTAGCACTGCATAACTAACCAGGCTAAAGAGCTCATTTAAAAAGGGGAACTTAGAGGAAAATTCTTTTTTTAGAAAAGGAAATCTGGTTTGGACTTGGGTTATAGACTTCTTTTTTGAGTACAAATTCTGTAGTAACAAGATATTAACTGTCATCATCTTTTGAACTGGTCACTCAAGGAAAAAACTGACGTGCTTCAAAAGGAAACACGTTGTATCATAGTTGTTGGAATGAGTAGAAAAAGGGGTGTATCATATACGATAGTGTTTCTTTTCTCATAGCCAGTTAAATACTATCTCTATTACCTCTACCAGGAATACTTCATAGCCAACCACAAATTAGAGTAAGCTAGTAAAGAATGTTGATTTTATTGACTATATTTTCTGTGGAACACAGGCTATAGTGCTAGATGAAGACAGGGAGGAAAGAAGGCTGATAAAAAACATATTTATGGACTGCACTGACAATAATTTCTATTTATCAGTAAAATTTCCCAAAGTGATAAAGATTCCCTTTACCTCTTGGGATCTACGCTTAGATCCTCTACTCTATTTAACTTATTAAACAGTCTATAAATTACTTATAGGCATCCTCTTCTTTTTCAAAGTTGCTTTAAAGTTCATCTTTAACACAAAACATGGGAAATGAAATAATAGTTTATATATATTTGTAAGACTATTAAAAAAGGAGAGAGGCCTAATAATTTGTCTAGTTTAATTTTCTTTCTTTCTTTCTTCCTGTTTTTTGCTTTTTTGAGACAGGGTCTTGCTCTATTAAAACCCAGGCTGGAGTGCAGTGGCGAGATCACAGCTCACTGCAGCCTTGATCTCTTGGGCTCAAGCAATTCTCCAACCTCAGCATCCCAAGCAGCTGGGACTTCAGGTGCACACCACCACACCTGGCTAAACTGTGCATTTTTTTTGTAAAGACAGGGTGACGTCATATTGCCCAGGCTGGCATCTAGTTTAATTTTCTACTGAGGAATCTGAGGTCCAAACGGGAGAAATGTAAAGGATAAGAGTGATTGCCCCTCTATTTTTTTTCTGATTACCAGGTATAATATTCATGTGGAAATTTTGGAAAGCAGAGAAAAATGTAAAAAGGCAGGGAATCCTTTTATATTCTTAATACAAAGGCAACCACCGTCAAAATATTGGCAGATTTTCTTCTGTCCTTTTTCCTAAATAGTATTTTTTTCAATATTGAAGGTATTATTTCCAGTATATGCAACTTTATGTCTTGTTTTTAAAAAAACTTTCACATATCATAAGCATGTTCCCGTAAATGTTAGCAAAAACTCCTGGTAATCATTTTCAACAACTGCATTATATTTTATCCAATGAACACACCATGCTTTATTTAACCATTCCTCTAATGTGAGAAAAATGTAAGTTGTTAATAAGTTTTATTCTCCTAAAAAATGCTATGATGATATTTGCCTGCAAATTATGGAGTAATTACAGAGTATTCTCCCCTCAGATAAATTCCTAAAAGGGAAATCACTGGAATAAAAAATATAAAGCATATGGGCAATAATCCGAATTTGAACCAAGGTATCTGTTTTGTCTATGTGACTTTCTAAGCACATACAGAAACCCTACACGTAGGGGAGCCCAGATTAGTCATATGGCCCCACTCCCTAGCAAGGCATCAATAGCCCTTCGTTTCCATGGTATCCTAAGTGCATCACTGAAAGTGGAAGAAGGGTAACATTTAACAGGTCACATAGGCCGTTTCCTATAAGCAGGATGTCCTAAAGAGCTTTTCAGATTGCACACTGGACTTGTTAAAAAGGGGAAGAGATTCATAGAGTCAAACAATTTATCATCATTGACAGTAATGTCTTGTCAGAATAATGCCCTGTCAGATTTTGTGCTGACAAAGATTTATGAATCTATCAACTGGTAAAATTTTCCCTCCTTGCTAGTGAGCATGATCTAGAACATTAGTTTCTCTTCAGCTTTCTTTAGGTTTAGCCTAATGATCTTTCATTTGACAAGCACCCACAAATTATACTTATTTCTGGCTAGAAAGGGCTCCCAGGAGCCTTGGTGTGTGGGGCATATTTTGGGATCTAAATAGGAAACTAGGTCTAGAATTGGTAGTTTCCCCAGTCCTCCATAGCATAACAAGACAGAAAAGTCAGTTACTGTTACTAACTTATCCAAAGGGAATGCTTTAAAAAATAGTAAAGGAAATTTCCAACTATCAAGAGTCATAAAAATGCAAAGCCACTACAATTCCTCATGTGACTTAAGAAACTCCTTTGACTCTGTTGCTTTTACCTATCAGATTCTTAATGTCTTTACCCTTCAAATAATATTTGGTTGATTAAAACTGCCTGAGGCAAACATTTTTAGGTACGGAGTTAGAACTATTTCTGAAGGAACATTTTCAAAATTTAAAAATTGCTCTGGTCAGACAGCAACAATAGAAGAATGTGAAGTGTGAACAGTGGCCATTGAGATGTGCTCTTAGGTACCCAAAATTGAAACATTTCAGTCCTTTCTCTAACTTTTCTGATCACTATGTCTATTAAAGGTAGCAGTTATAGCCCTGGGGCACATTTGAACTAAGTAACTGTGGTTACCAAATGCTGCAACTTCAGTAATATTTAACAGAGAGATGCTTATTGATATGTCATGGCCAGACACAGTTTTGTTTCAAGGTTCACTTATTAATATTTTTGAAATTTAATGTCTGCTATAGTTGGATACAGTTTGTCTTCACCAAAATGCATGTTGAAATTGGATCCCCGATGTGGCCTTGTTAGCTGGGGCCTAGTAGGAGGTGTTTGGGTCATGGGGGTGAAACTCTCATAAATACTTGGGGCCATTCTTGCAGTAGTGAGTTTCCAAGACAGCAGGCTGTTAGAAAGCGAGGATCTTCCTCCTGTTTGGTCCTCCCTCTTGCCTGTGTCTGTTCTCCTTTGATTCTCTCTGCCATGTTATGATGCAGCACAGAAGCCTTTGCCAGAAGCCAGGACCACGTCCTTGAACTTCCCAGGCTGCCGAACAGTAAGCTAAATAAACCTCTCTTCTTTGTAAGTTACCAGCCTCACGTCCTCTGTTACAGCAACACAAAATGGACAAACACAATGCCCCAATACAATGAACTCCAGAAGCTGGAAAATGAAAAAACCCAAGCAAACATGTCAATATATTAGGTGCCACAGAGGATCCCAATGAAGGTTTTTCTGGTTGTTTTTAAATTGTCTAAAACAGAAATGGCATAATAGTTAAACTGGGGGAAATTTCCCACATAAAAACCACCATTTTATGGTGGCCCTAAATACTTACCCTTTCCTGGGATGTTTGATAGCGAAGGTGAAGGGCTGTGGGGTCCCAATCCACAGCAATATAGGCATTTCCAATGAAAGCTCTGTCTTCCCCACAATCAATTTTACAGCCTCGGCAAAATCTAAAAAGGGGGAAAAGATCCACAGAGGAAGAAATAATTATGAAGGAATCTAAATTTTCTTCATAAAAAAGATTCTTCCTTCCTACTTTTCTGCTTTCCTCTTGGGCCTCACAATTGGTCATGAGATTCTAACTTCAGACTCTGATAAATGTAAGGATACTTATTAATAATTATTATCATTTCAGGAAATCATGCTTTTCACTGTTCAAGTCTTTATTTTTACAAAGTACTTGATAACCATCTGTTAATCACAGGAAGATGTGAACTTTATGGCAAATAAATGACATGGGAATTGGCTGTTTGAGATACTACAGCACTCAAGAAATTCCAAATTCAGTTATTTAATGCTCTGAGGTAGGACAATTTATCTGGTATAACACCTAGCTCCTTGTTTGTAAAATGGCAGATTAAATAAATGCATATAAAAGTTTACAAAGGCCAGGCATGGTGGCTCACACCCGTAATCCCAGCACTTTGGGAGGCCGAGGCAGATGGATCACCTGAGGTCAGAAGTTCGAGACCAGCCTGACCAACATGGTGAAATCCTGTCTCTACTAAAACTACAAAAATTAGCCAGGCATGGTGGTGGGCACCTATAATCCCAGCTACTCAGGAGGCTGAGGCAGGAGAACTGCTTGAACCTGAGAGGCGGAGGTTACAGTGAGTCAAGGTCGCACCACTGCACTTCCAGCCTGGGCGATAGAGTGAGATTCTGTTTATTAAAAAAAAAAAAAAAGTTTCTAGAGTTCAGGGGTGGGGGGGAGATGGGGTAGGGGAGGATGATTCATAATATTAAGTCATGGTTCCAATGCCTACTTTTATATTATTTCATTATTTTTTCTGAGATTGGAGCCTCGCTCTGTCACCTGAACAGCGTGCAGTGGCATGATCTCGGCTCACTGCAAGCTCTGCCTCTCGGTTCTCCTGCCTAAGCCTTCCGAGTAGCTGGGACTACAGGCGCCCGCCACCACGCCCGGCTAATTTTTTGTATTTTTAGTAGAGACGGGGTTTCACCGTGTTAGCCAGGATGGTCTCCATCTCCTGACCTCATGATCTGCCTGCCTCGGCCTCCTAAAGTGCTGCGATTACAGGTGTGAGCCACCATGCCCAGCTAATGCCTAGTTTAGACTCAGTTTGTTAAGTCTGTTGCAGTTCTCTAAAGGTGGACTTTAGTATCATTAGGCATTTTCACTGCTATAACAGCAATGACCAATCAATCTCCATAACTCTTTAAAAACCAAGAACAGATTTCCAGCAAGGTCTAGTAAAGACTGTTCTACTGTGCTCAGAACTGGCAAACTTATTTATATCTAAGGAGAGGCTTGGCGTGGTGGCTCACACCTATAATCCCAGCACTTTGGGAGGCCAAGGTGAGTGGATCACCTGAGGTCAGGAGTTCAAGACCAGCCTAACATGGCAAAACCCATTTCTACTACAAATACAAAAATTAGCTGGGTACAGTGGTGCACGCCTGTAGTCCCAGTTACTCGGGAGGCTGAGGCAGGAGAATTGCTTGAACCCAGGAGGCAGAGGTTGCAGTGAGCTGAGATTGAGTCACTGCACCCCAGCCTGGGCGACAGAGTGAGACTCTATCTCAAACAAAAAAACAAACAAAACAAAAAAAAAAGGAGAGGAGAAGTTACAGAGTAATAAATGTTTATCACAAGTTATGAATTTGGTATGGACTATAGAGTTTATAAAATCAGCTAAGTCTCAAAAGCAAAACTTATCTATTGACCTCAAAAGGAAGTGAAAAACTTTTTTGAGATGGAGTTCCGCTCTTGTAGCCAAGGCTGGAGTGCAGTGGTGGGACCCTGGCTCACTTCAACCTCCGCCTCCTGGGTTCAAGTGACTCTCCTGCCTCAGCCTCCCAAGTAGCTGGGATTACAGGCATGCACCACCACGCCCCGCTAATTCTGTATTTTTAGTAGAGACGGGGTTTTACCATGTTAGGCTGGTCTCAAACTCCTGACTCAGGTGATCCACCCACCTTGGCTTCTCAAAGCCACGTGCCCAGCCACAATTCTTAAGTTTTTCATTGTTCACTAATTACTTCTCAAAACTGGAAATCTTATGAAAATTTTATAATATCTAAAGCTGAAATTCTACTAAAATAATTCTTTTGCAGGTCACTTTACCTATACCATGGGCACCAAGCACAGGTGTTCCCATCTTTCTGCACAACTCGTAGAGTGAATGGATATTGATAGCCCATACTATCATCACTGAAACAGAAGAGAACAAAAAGAGTGTAAGAAGCATTTTGGGTTCGAGGTCCACCTCCTTTTCATCTTCTCTTGAAGTAATCCTAGGAAGGGGCATTTGCCACAGCAGTATGCTCATGCTGACAGCTCAATGTTACTTACCCTAATCCATTAGCTGCAGCCCTGTACCAAATACACTCTGGCTTCCCATCCTGTATCCGGGCTTACAGAAGGGTAGACATACAACTGCCAGATGTCTCTAAGGGAGTCCATGTGGCCCACGAAAATTTTATAAGATAAGCTAATCATGAAATCAAATACCAATTATCCTTCAGCCTTAATTCTATCAGAGGATTTAATTCACATTAAACTAAAATAATTACATCTTTCCATGACAAGACCACTGACACATTGCAGAAAGCTGTATATTTAGAAGTCTTCTTTAATCAGAATCGCTGATGTGGTACATGCTGAGTACCGCCTTAACTACTCAGAGTTATAAGCTTTTTGGAGTAACTTCTTTTAACTGTCAATGATTATGTCAAGATGGCCCCATGAATTTTCCAACTTTTAAAAAAATTTACTCATCCTTGCCCTAACAAGGAGCAATGCAATAATTTATACATGTTATTGAAACATAAGTTGTACACCTTAGATGTATATACAATTCCTACTTGTCACTTATAGTTCAATAAAGCTGGAGGTAGGGGAGAAGAAAGCAACGCAAGGAATATAACATAAGAGTGGCATACTTTACAGCTCATCTGGCAACTGATAGTGGTTATTACATGGGCTACTGAAGGTAATGAAACCATGATAAAGAGTCACTGTAAGGGCAAAAGTGAGAATCACATCTGACACAGGAGTTCTCATCTTTCTGCATAACTCGTCCAGTGAATGACCATTGATAGCCTGTACTGTCTAGTACCATATCCAAATCAGGCCAGCAATAAGTGAGGAATCAAAAGAAAGGTAATGGGATAAAACAATCAAGTAGCACTCTCATAGAAAGCTGAGCAGCACTTCTCTTCTGAAAATTTCTTTTACCTTTTTGCTCTAACTGAATGAAGCCTGGCTTTCTTGAGAATCCTGCTTCCCCTGCAGACTTTTTCCATGTTTTTTGAGACAGAGTATCACTCTGTCACCCAGGCTGCAGTGCAATGGCGTGATTATGGCTCACGGTAGCCTCCACCTTTCTGGGCTCAGGTGATCCTCCCACCTCAGCCCCCCAAGTAGCTAGGATTACAGGCATGCACCACCATACCAGGCTAATTTTTACATTTTTTTGTAAAGACAGCATTCTGCCATGTTGTCCAGGCTGGCCTTGAACTCCTGGGCTCAAGTGATCCTCCGCCTCAGCTTCCTGAAGTGATGGGATTGCAGGTGTGAGTCACCACACCCTACCCCCTGCACTTTTTATTCTCATACAATCTAGAACCTGGAGGTAAAATAGATCTCTTCCTTACTCCTATGCCACTTGTACATGATTTCTTCTTCCTTCCTTTTCTAAAACATTCCAGCTTCTTTGTAGCTTGTGCTACTGAATTATGCCACCTGCTATTCCTCCTTGGAAGGTAGATCCTTTCTTTACTCACTAAAGACTGCAGCGCCCAGTTCACTGTACTTTTTCTCCACCACTTCTCCTGTTATTATTCTTGGTGACATCAACATCAATGCAATTAATACAACAGTAACTTCTCTCTTCCAACAATAACTTCCTCCACCCCATATGTAAACCCTCTCTAAATGTCATATTCTAGACTTTGTGAATACAAACTCTTCTACCTCCAATATATCAATTCCAAGTATCCTACTTTGCAACCACCACCTCCTATCTTTTTGGGTCACTTACTTATTCAAACATCCCTATTTTAGTATTTTAATGATTCTTTTACCCAAGAGAAACCTCCAATCGCTGCCCTGAAATCCTTACTTTCCTCTTTCTCCACTGTCCCTGAAAATAGTCACTCTTCTACATAGACCCTGAATTCCAAGATTTTGTTCATTTAATCTAAAATTTCAAATTCATTGACATAAACACTCAATAAGTCGAGAACTATACAATGAAAACTCATGTATTCATTACCCAACTATAATAATCATCAACTCCAGGTCACTCTTATTTCATCCATAACTTTACCAAGTACCACTAGAATCAGGTGAGAGCTACCATGCCTGGCTATCTTTTTTAATGTCCGAAGGACCATTCTCTCTTTAACCCATTCCAATCTCTACTCCTTTATCTATACTAAAATAGCTTTCACAAAGATCACCAAAGACCATTTTATCAAATCCAGCAGGCAATTCCCAGTCCTCTGTAGCATTTGAAACGACTATCACTCCTTTCTTGAAATACTTTCTTCACTTAACTCCTGGTTTTCTTCTTACATTACGGACTGCTCCTTCTCAATCTCTCTCTCTCTCTTTTTTCTTTTCTTTTTTTTTTTTTTTTGACAGAATCTTGCTCTGTCGGCCAGGCTGGAGTCAGGGGTGCGATCTCAGCTCACTGCGACCTCCACCTCTAGGGTTGAAGCGATTCTCATGCCTCAGCCACCCAAGTAGCTGGGATTACAGGCATGTACCACCATGCCCGGCTAATTTTTGCATTTGTAGTAGAGATGGGGTTTTGCCATGTTGGGCAGGTTGGTCTTGAACTCCTGGCCTCAAGTGATCCTCCGACTTTGGCCTCCCAAAGTGCTGGGATTACAGGTATGAGCCACTGCACCCAGCCTCAATCTCTTTTGACGCTTCTTCTTCCCTTTTTAATCTCTAAATGTTGGAATGCATTATGAACTCAGTTCAGAGTTCATGTAAAGATCATAGGAATCTTCTCTATTTAACTCTCACCCTCTAAATGTTAATCATCTGGTCTCAGGGCTTTAAATATCACCTATTTGTTGATGACATCTGTATTTATATCACCAGCAAAGGACATTCAAGTGAATTTCCCACTTGAATATATAATAGACTTCTTGCATCTAACTTGATTCTTGTCATTTCTTGCCCAAACATGCTCCTTCTTCAGTTTTCCTTTTTCCATCAAATTGTACCACAATTCACAAACAATTGCTCAGGGTAAAAAGCCAGCTTGGGCTGGGTGCAATGGCTCACGCCTGTAATCCCACCACTTTGGGAGGCTGAGGTGGGATCATGAGGTCAGGAGATCGAGACCATCCTGGCCAACACGATGAAACCCTGTCTCTACTAAAAATACAAAAATTAGCCAGGCGTGGTGGCATGCACCTGTACTCCCAGCTACTTGGGAGGCTGAGGCAGAAGAATTGCTTGAACCTGGAAGGCAGAGGTGCAGTGAGCCAAGGTTGTGCCACTGCACTCCAGCCTGGCGACACAGCAAGACTCCAGCTCAAAAAAAAACAAAACAAAAACAACAACAACAACAAAAAAGGCAGCCTGGATTCCTCTTTCCCTATGCTCCACATCCAATTGAATAGCAAGTCCTAGGAAAAGCCCTAGTCTAGAAGCCCTTTAATTCAATTACTTCCTTCAAATCTAATCTTGTCCAACTTTCATCTTTACTAAACACAACATTCATCAACTGAACTGCTTATCTATTATTTGCAGTTTCCCTTTAGGATTTACTTAAATCTTAAATACTTCAAATAATTATTTATTTAAATAACTTATTTTGGCCGGGTGCGATGGTTCATGCCTGTAATCCCACTTTGGGAGGCTGAGGCGGGCAGATCGCTTGAGGTCAGGAGTTTGAGACCAGCCTGGCCAACATGGTGAAACTCTGTCTCTACTAAAAATACAAAAATTAGGCCGGGCGTGGTGGCTCATGCCTGTAATCCCAGCAACACTTTGGGAGCCAGGCGGTTGATCCCATGAAGTCAGGAGATCGAGACCATCCTGGCGAACACGGTGGAAAACTTCTGTCATCTACTAAAAATACAAAAAAAAAAAAAAAAAAAAAAGAAAAAAATAGCCAGGCATGGTGGCAGTGCCTGTAGTCCCAGCTACTTGGGAGGCTGAGGCAGCAAGAATGAACCTAGGACGGTGGAGCTTGCAGTGTAGCCACAGAATCATGCCTGTCCACTGCACTCCAGCCCTGGAACAGACAAGACT